TTCCTTGTCTGAAAAATGCCCATGAAATCCATCATACTCGGATCTCAAATGAGATTTATGCAGCGGTCCTTCGTGGCCATCACAGGCATCTCTTGTCTAACTCAAAGGAGAATGAAAGAGGAGAAAAAACAGCATATGTTTCACAATTGTATCATGTAGAAGTGGGACAACATCACAAGTATTATTATACACAATTGGCATCTCTATTATTCATTAAACATAATGTTAAACTCCAAGATCATCTTGTTAAGCCCTTCCTGCCGGCTGTACACATACACATTATTGACCATAGTCGTGTCACATTGTAGAGCGACGTTTCGAAACCTTGTGGTCCCGTCTTCAGGCAAACAAAGCGCTTTGCCTGAAGAAGGGACCACAAGGTTCCGAAACGTCGCTCTACAATGTGACACGACTATGGTCAATAAAGAAGATTGACTAAAGAATTAAATTTGAGTGCGAGTGACGTTCTACCGATTGCATTTGACTTGCAGAGGCATTTGCAGTCACTTTGGCACCCACCCGACATCCAAGGGTTTATTTCCAGTCAGGAGTGCGATGGGATCTATTATGTATTAAAGGTGAACTATGAGGCAAGTGAAAATCACTCAGCCTCATAGTTCTAGCCGGCCTGTGACAATTAAACTGTCACAAGTAGGCTCAATAGATCGGGAAGCGAGCGAACACATAGCGTCGCTCGCTCACTTCTCGATCCTGTCCCTTCAGAGAGCCGTGACTGTCACTCACGGCTCCCTGCAGGGATCCCCCCCTCCCTGCTCCGAGGGGGTGGGCACAGCTGGCTCTGCCTCTAGATAGGCAGATCCATCTGTCAATCCCGCAGCTGGGTTGATCTCGACAGTATTGTCAGGATCCGTCCCGGCTGCGGCGTCTCAGTATACCGCGAGCTGTAGCTCGCGGTATACTGAGCTTAGGGTGACGGTAGGACGCTAGTTTGTGTCTTCCCGTTACCCTTAGGAGAACTATGGGGAAAAGCCCTGACCCCATAGTTCTCCTTTAAGCACTGTTGCAGCCAATCACACAGATCTAATGATCGGGGCTCGAATAAAACACCAAATACACCAAAGATGTAGGAATAAAATATATACGTTAATGGAAATTACTTCAATAAAAATAAGGTTACTCATGTTAGAATACACATTATTGTATATATTACAACAACTCCTGCAGCATACATTTTTGATCAGTAGATGGCAGTGTTTATACGTTCTGTTATATCTATGGTATAAACTCTGTTCAGGGCGGACTGGGCCGGGGGGCAGGGTGGCAATTGCCCCCCGGTACCCGCCTGCCCGTATCCACGCTCCACACGCCGCACCTCCTTCCCGCCTCACGCTTGCCGCTGAAAGTGGCAGACGGGCGGGGAGAAGGCAGGGGAGGAGGCAGAGCGGGAGGGGGGCCGAGTCACTGCACCATGGGCCTCTAGGTTGTACTTGCCCCCTGGGCTAAAAGTTGCCAGTCAGCCCCTGACTCTGTTGTATTGAAAAGGGTAGAGAACAAAGCTGTGGCTTCCTTCCTGTTTTCCAAGCCATGTTCAGCATGCATATCTGACTGTGTGCTTGTGTTTCTCTGTGAGGCTGTTCCAGAAGTTCCAACAACCCAAGGCTTTTTTAGGTTAACCCGGGTGCTATACTCACTTTTTTCTTTGCCCAAGCATATAGTATTAGTGCATTTATCCATTATGTCCTAAATAGCAGTATAACGTGATTTCAAAGGGTACTCACTGAAACAAAAGTCCTGCCTCTTCATTAAACTAGAGTTTTTCTATATCTTTATAAAGTAATATTTGTAGGTGGAAATCTGTTTTCCAAAGAGAGTCATTATTGGGTACACTGAACAGAAATGTAATGTTTTACTAACACATGCCAAAGTTGCAAAACTGGGTTCAGTTGTTAAGGTTTGTTTTACCTTCAGTATTAAGGGGGTAATGTCCCTCCTCATGAATAAATAAAAATATGGCTTTGACTGAAATACTCACTTGTAATCCCAAGCTGTCCCCTGCAGTACATCTTCTTAGCCACAAGATGTCCTCATGCTTCTGTTTTAGATGACAACCAGAGTTAATCAACCAGAAACACGAAAAGACTGTAATTGCAGGGTGTCGTGGCCCCGCCCCTTAAGCACTGCTCCCTACTCAGCCTATTGGTGCAGAAAGTGAAGTCATCCCATCAGCACCATTCTCTGCATTATCCAGGACTTCCCACTGCCGGGAGATGACCGAAGTGGAACAGCCTGCACATCACATGGCCAGCCAGAAGCCACATGAAAAGGGTAGGTTAAAAAAAAGCATAAAATACAGCTTGTAGGGACCTCATGGAAGGAGGGGTGAGCATGGAGCCCAAGGTTGGCCTTTAAAGTATAAATAAAACCAAAACATTTCGAATAGAGCAGGAAATAGTTAAAACTCTACCATTTGGGAGATTTACCTTCACTTCCTGTCCAACACACAAAAATAAGTGAGGTGTAATCTCTTCAAAGCGAGGGAAATCCCCTGTTATACTATTGCTTCAGTTGGAAGATTCACCCTCTTTTCCTTTTCTGGTGACATCTCAACATTTTGGATTTCCCTCCCTCTCAGTCTCTCTGGCAGCGATCAATAGGACACCACTACTCTATCCAAAACTAAACTAAAAAAATAAGTTTTCTCTTTTGATGTAATGTTTTTATTTCCCCCTTGTCCCTGTTTGAGAGGTTTTCTCTTACTTACTGTACGGTTGATCATTGTCACTGGGACAGGAGGTGAGGGGGACATCATTCCCATGGAAGAACAGAAGTCCTAACCCATCCCCACCATGAGTGGCAACTCTCAGGATTTCAGCCAGAGACTCCTAGGTTCTGAAACCGATCACCGGATTTCCAGGAGTTCCCTCTGGCTCAGCCGTCTATTGGCTAACTGGAGTAGTGACATCACTGCTTGAGTCCTCCAAGCAACTGGGAATGGCTAGCCATTGGCTGGCACTGTGAAGGAGTAGAGAACTGGGAAGAGGTGTAAGCTGTGCTCTATTCTGCTCTAGCCCCAAACCATCAAGCCATGCCCCTAAAAAAAAACATTAATATCTTGGCCCCTCCCCTAATCATCTATTAAAATCTAATGTTAGGATTTTGATATATTTTAAAATGAAATTGCTCAGCACAGTTAGACATAAAATACAGTTCTTCAATGCTCACCTTTTCTCCAGCACTCAGTGTCATGGTATAGCTCCACTCCTCCTCCAGCCTGAAAGATGCCCAGAGCCATCCAACCCACTTCATGTGAGCCCAAGCCATCATAGGCTCCCTCCATCGGTGGCATCCCATGGATTTTACAATGTTGCTGTACAGAATGTTGCTCAGGAATAAGGACTGTCCATGGCCACCTGGCAAGAAGAGGAAAGACCTGAGATGTCACATGACCAGTCAGAAAACATGAATTTAAGGTATGTAATCAAATGATTTAAAAACAAAAACATAAGTCTGGGGGAAGGTGCAAATGTTTTTAAATTTGGAGTTGAGCCCTACAATTCAACACACCGCTATCATTCCTACAATTAGCTGCAGCATGCTATCTGTGCCACTAGTAGCACTACCCCCTTGCTGAATCTCAGGCTTAATGACCATTGCTAGTAAGAGCTGCCCACTGTGGGCTCCAGAATTTTAGTCACCAGATGACGGTCGAGGTACTTTCAGCGACTGAATCATCATGTCCCGAGGAGCTCCTGTTTCAGGTAATTTTACCACTAATGAATGGTGGCCCCATTACCACTGACACCAGTGAATAGTGGCCCGTCCCCCAATGGCACCCATGTAACAGGGCCTTACCCTATTAATCTTCACTGACTGCCAATGTGACAGGGCTTGTTTGGCACACAACACCAATATAATAAGAAAGGTACTTATGCTAACCAACAAAGTAGAGAGGGAATAAATACTGACCTCCAATGGATCAGGGGAGTTTATAGTGACCACCAATGTAATGGCAGCATTTACCCTGATTACCAATGTAACAGATGCATGTACAATTACTGCCAATGTAATAACAGAATTTATGCTGACCTCCAATGTAAGGCAGCATTTATACTGACAACCAATATAAAGAGAGAATTTACATTGACCACCAATATAAAGAGAGAATTTACATTGATCACCAATGTAAAAGGGGAATCTACACTGACCACCAATGTAAAAGGGTAATCTACACTGACCATCAATGTAAAGAGGGAATTTACAATGACCACCAATGTAAAAGGGGAATTTACAATGACCACCAATGTAAAAGGGGAATCTACACTGACCACCAATGTAAAAGGGGAATTTACAATGACCACCAATGTAAAAGGGGATTGTGGTTTGGGGGCTTTATTGGGGGAGGGGGCTGATGGTGGCTGAATAGGAGTGGCCCTCACATTAGAGATGATGCTGGTGGTTGGATATGAGGGGCCCCTCACATCAGAGGCGATATTGATGGTTGTATATGAGGGGATCTCACATTGGAGGTGATGCCGTTGGATATATATGAGGGGATCTCACATGCTGGTGGCTAAACACGAGGGGCCCTCACAGTAGAGGTGATGCTGGTGGCTAAACACGAGGGGCCCTCACAGTAGAGGTGATGCTGGTGGCTAAACACGAGGGGCCCTCACAGTAAAGGTGATGCTGGTGGGTGAATATGAGGGGCCTCTACATTAGAGGTGATGCTGGTGGGTGAATATGAGTGGCCCCTACATTAGAGCTGATGCCGGGGGCTAACAACAAGGTGAAGGTGCCCTCATGCAGTAGTTAAAATGATAGCGAGATACGGCGACACCCCTGTAGCCAATGGGAATCAGCGGTACGGTATTAGCCCTCGCAGACCCCTCCCCTGTGAACGATGTTTTACCTATCAGCATTCACTGGCCCGCCCTGCTACCAATGCATGTCCCGCCTTATTGTAGACCCCGCCCCATAACCGGGTTACCATGGAGGCTAAGGACGCGCTGTCTCGGACATCTCTCTAGCCTCCGGAAATCCCGTGGCTTAGTCTCGCGATACTCGGTCACTGTTGCCAGGAGACTGTGTTACTTTGTATAGGTGAAAGAAGAAGCAGCCAACATGGTGAGTGTTCAGCGGGGTGGGGGCACCGAATTATAGTAACTGGGGGGCTGTGTGCAGGCTGCATGCTCTGCAATGCTCATGGCCCTGGGGGAAGCATTACATGTACTTGGATAGTATGGTGGGGCCCTTCGTAGAGCCAGCTGTGGGTCTGTGAAGTGGCTGGAAGGACTCAGGGTAACATATTCCTATGTGATACTGAATAACACTGGAGGTGCCAGCTTACCATAGACATGAGACCAGGAAAAGTGTGCCCGTCCATCAAAAAGGGGTGGAGTTCCAAAATCCTGGTGATACCAATAACTTACTTTAGTGGTGGATTATAGTAAGAGCAGAACAGGCAGCTTCCTGGGGCCCCAGACTCTGAAGGGGCCCATGGGGAACTTACAAACCTTCTGTACTCCACTGATGTTTATAGTAAGTCAATTAAAGACTCAGACACTGCATTCCAAATCCTCCAGAAATGCTTCCCAAATGCATGTTTACACTGATGTCTGCGTACATTGACCCTCTTGGGGGCCCCAGGAAAATGGATCTACCACCGTTCACACACACACACTGACACCCTCAGCATCCGCCGCCGTTCACACACTGACACCCTCAGCATCTGCCGCCGTTCACACACACTGATACCCTCAGCATCCGCCGCCGTTCACACACTGATACCCCCAGCATCTGCCGCCATTCACACACTGATACCCTCAGCATCTGACGCCGTTCACACACTGATACCCTCAGCATCTGCCACCGTTCACACACACACACTGATACCCTCAGAATCCGCCGTCGTTCACACACTGATACCCTCAGCATCTGCCGCCATTCACACACTGATACCCTCAGCATCTGCCACCGTTCGCACACACTGATACCCTCAGCATCTGCCACCGTTCGCACACACTGATACCCTCAGAATCTGCCACCGTTCACACACTGATACCCTCAGCATCCGCCGCTGTTCACACACACTGATACCCTCAGCATCGGCCGCGGTTCACACACACTGATGCCCTCAGCATCTGCTTACATGTTTACGATGTTTAGAGTTAAAGCTTCTTGGGGGAAAAAACTGATCTGCACGGTCCAAGGTTTCTGGAATATTTGTGCACCTTATAAATTGAGTGATATATATATACATAAACTTTGGCATTACTGCAGAGATCTAAAGCTGATGGCTTGCCCACCCCCTTAATGTTGGGGGGATAAGTGTTAGCGCAGGCTGCCAGTGTTAGGTAAATGTCATGCCATTTTGTAAGCACAATTGTATCTGACCTGCCTTGTTGTCCAGCCTCCAAAGAAGAAGAAGGGGGCGACGAAAAAGAAGTCAGCCAAGGGGAAGAAGAGCCCTGGACTGGTGGATGGACTGTCCACTGAAGAAATGAGCAAAGATCAGGTAGGTCCTTTGTACTAGGAACATGACTGAGGTCTGGTGAGGGACAACATGGCATTTGCCTCTGATGGGATTGTCTTTAAGGATAACATCAGCCATAATTTAGCCATATAGAGCAGGGGGTGTTGAATACTCTAGGTACACCACATTCTTTATTCTGTCCTTATTATATCCAGAACCTGCTGATCATGTGAGCTGTAGAAGGGTTTCCCGAGACCTGAAAATTATTTGAAGGGTTCCTCTGGAGTGGGAAGGTTGAGGGAGGCTGCTTTAAGGATATTAAATTGTATGATTGCTTTATAGCTGGAGGAGCACATAGTGCGCCTACGGGAGGAGGTGGACAGAGAACGTGAGGAGAGAAACTACTTCCAGCTGGAGAGAGACAAAATCCACACCTTCTGGGAGATCACACGCCGCCAAATGGAAGAGAAGAAATCAGAACTGCGTAACAAGGACCGTGAGATGGAGGAGGCGGAGGAGAGACATCAGGTGGAGATCAAGGTGAGAACATTACTTATTTTATTCATTTTTACCGCAGCAACATGTTCCTCAGAGCTTCTACAGAGAACACTGTAATTCTTGTCCCTCAGGTGCACATAATTATGATGCAATATCCCCCACCTCCATGGGAAAGAGCTGCGGAGAGTTGGCCTGCTTCATTCTGGGAGCTGAGGTGGTTAACGGGGCCCTCTTCCTCCTGTCCTGGTCCCCCAATCGGTGGAACTACTAGAGTTGCAGCTGCGACTGGGCTCTGGCGTTCCACCACTTGGGGGGGCCTGTTAACCGCCAAGGTGCCGACATTGCCCCCTAGGACTACAGCTACCTGCAGGCAGATGCTCCGCAGCTCATTCCATTGGGGGTAGTATACAATTGTAGTTTGTGTGGGGAGGAAATATCAGTGGGGGGTCATACACAGATAGTAGTCTATTATAGGTGGAGAGGTTGGGGAGTCCCTTACTTTCAGGAACGCTGTGTCATGAAGGACCTGTGGGCCCTCTTCTTCCTCTCTGGGCGCCTCCAACTGGCGGAAACGCCAGGGCCCGGTCGCAATCGACCGCTGCAACCCTGGTAGTTCGGCCAGTGTTCCCACTCACTCCCAGTCATATTAAAAGAGGGTGAGCATTGATAACAACTTGTTAATAAAAATAAATCCCTGCTGTAGTTATAAAGTATAAGCATTTAGCTTCTCAAACCCTCCCACGATGCTAGAATCCCAACCAACTTTGACAACTAAAGCTACAACACTTCCGGGTAGCGTCAGAGCTTGCTGCTAAGACTTTCCCCCACACACTTCTATTGGACCATCACTATGATGGGCAGCCTCACTGGCCAAAAGGACTGTACAGAAGGGTCAGAAGGCTTTTGATTATTAGGAACTGCTGAGATTTGTCTGTCAGAACCATCCAGAATTTGGCTGTCAGGGGTGCATTTGGAAGGCTGCTTCAAATGTGTCTACCGGTAGGTCACTGCTCTTTATACCTCTAACAAATTTTTCATCATTACTGATTCTCTTTCAAGGGACCCTGTTGGAAATAGCTATACTTGTAAAAAAGAGACTGACACACTGCCAGATCGTGGCTCCATTGAAATCCATTGGGAAAACAACACTTCCATGATTGTGAATCTCCTCAGTCCCTCACAGTGCTCATTGGTTTCTCCCGCTGACACCTACATCACTACTGTGTCCTCTCATGACGTGGAAGTCGGTGGAAGGAACCACTGAGCACCACAGAGAGCCCAGGAGTTCAATCAAGTGTGGGTTTCCCAGCTAGCTTCAGTGGAGGATTTCTCTTGAATGAAGCAACGTCCTGGCAACTTGGGCAATTTTCAGTCTCTTCTTTTGCAGGTATAGCTGTTTCAGATTCGTTTTTTATTTTTATAATAAAAGTTTCCTTTTAAATGTAAAATTCAGAAAGTCCATAGGACAGGAAAGTTGTGGTCCCATACAGAGGGCACAGGTATTGTAGTTTTCATATAGCTTTAGTAATGCTTCTTGCCCCCTCTTCTACGTCCCGGCATCTGCTGCCTGTAGCAAAGAACATTTTGTATCCAGATCTTTCACTGCTTACTTTGCTGATCTTGGTGCTAGCTTCTGAGACGCAGACAAGACACATTTACTTCTCCTTTTAAGTCAGCATTTTCCTGGAAACAGAAGGAACTCAGATGGAAAAACTTCCCTGGGGTAAAATCCAGAGCTGGCCGTATGAAGCCAGCATATCATTTATCATAATCGCATTCTCCCGGCAGGGATTGTGAACAAAGAGCAGAGCTGCACAAATTCTTAAAGGCCAACACCAACCAAAACTAATACTGCTGTGTTGTTGTTGTTTTTTTGGGAGGGGAGGGGGGGGGTGTCAGCTGCCATTTTCTCACTGCAGGATTCCCTGGTTAATTTTGTTTTTCTGCATTATAGAGGTCTATCAATGTGCATCACCACCATTTGTCTTAGTAATAGCTGCAGTTGATGGGCAGAACTGGGAATTTTTGGATATGTTACCGACATAGTCCCTAGGAGGTGAAAGCAGCAGGCGGGTATTTAAAGTTAGTCCTGGCCACTCAGAAACTAAAATATTTATTGTGTTAGGGCTTGCTGTGATTTTCTTTTAGTTTTAAATGATCTGTCCAGGCAGTGCCCTCATTTACCCTCGAAACCTCCTTCTTCTGTGTACATGTTCATGGTAGCATTACCAAATTGCATTGTTTTGAAAAAAATTTTAGGCAGCTTAGATCATATGGTCTCTGACTCCTGATACCAGGAGCATTGTGAGTGTTTCATAGGATTAGAGACAGTAGGCTGTTGTTTCCAGTAAAATAAACTGGTAGATTAGCAGCAAGATACTGTGAGGGGATAGGCAGGACAGAGAACTGCAACATTTTAACTTTCTAGCCAATCACAAAGTGGGAAGCTGAGGCAGGAGCTGATCTGTATCAAGCATTGGTAAACACAGTGGACATCTGCACTGGACACAATCATGTAAATCGTGGTGCGTCTCTGAGCCAACCTCTCCAGTATATGCTGAGTTTGGGTGATGCCTGAACAAAGATGGCCCTGGATGATGCTTGAACAAAAATGACAAGTCCTTCTGGGAAAAAAAGAAGAAGGCAGCATTGTCGGGGAGTACAGTGATCCCTGTGAGGGGTAATAAATACCTGGAAGTGTTAAATTGACACATTAATTACCATGTATGTAGTTAACATGAAAAATAAAACCGATGCTAGCTCCGCCTTAGGTAAATAGATATAAGACTGTTTTTCCCACTTGCCCGTTGTCTGCTTCAGGTCTATAAACAGAAAGTCAAGCATCTCTTGTATGAGCATCAGAACAACATTTCGGAGCTGAAAGCAGAGGGCAGCGTTTCTATGAAGCTGGCACAGCAGGATCATCACACTCAGGAGGGCCTACTCCGCAAAGATATGCGCGGACTGCAGGTGGACATTAAAGAGCAGGAGCTGGCCAATGAGATGGTGCTGAAGAATGTGAAAGTGGTAAGAGAAAAGGAATGGAGCTAAAACATTCCACTATAGGGAAGAAAATCCACCGTCACAGGCTCTTTCTGCTTTTACATTTCTAATAGTCTTATTCTATCTGACAGAAACAAGATGAAGAGATCACACGACTGAGAAGTGACTTTGAGAGACAAGTGAAAGGTCAGTGTTGTGTTGCACCATTATTCTTAGCAGCAGTAAATATAGATGCCACAAAGCACCCATAGAAGGAGGCAGGCTGAGCCGCCTTTGATGCTCCTTATTTTTTTCATTGAATCGAGTATAACCTTTAAAGTTAAACTCCAGGCAAACGGCTGGATACCCAGTTTGAATATGTATACTGGAGTTGGTTTACATGACAAAGGGTTTGCGTGTCTCTACATCCATTCATAATATTTACACAGCAGCTAAGTTGGTGACCTGACTTTCCCCCAATGCAGCTAGGTTACATCCCCGACCCTAGCATGCGATTGAACAGTAAAGGGCTGCAGCTTGCTGATGAGACATTCTTCTGCTTCTGCACCTGTCAAGAGATTCCTTGTCGCCAATACAGCTAGCTCACCTCCCCGACCCTAGCATGTGATTGAACAGTGAAGGGCAGCAGCTTGCTGATAAGACATTGCTCTGCTTGTGCACCTGTCAACAGGTTCCTTGTCTGCAATACAGCTAGGTCACCTCCCTAACCCAGGATGTGACTGGACAGGAAAGGGCTCCAGCTTGCTGATGAGACATTCTTCTGCTTGTGCACCTGTCAACAGGTTCCTTGTCGGCAATACAGCTAGGTCACCTCCCCAACCCTAGCATGTGATTGGACAGTGAGGGGTAGCAGCTTGCTGATAAGACATCCCTCTGCCTGTGCACCTATCAGCCTGATCTTGTCGGCAACACAGCTAGGTCACCTCCCCAAACTCAAATGTGATTGGACAGTGAAGGGCACCAGCATGCTGTTGAGACATCAGCATGTTCCTTGTCAGCAACACAGCTAAGTCACCTCCCTAAAGCCAGCGCATGATTGGACAGTTAAGGGTAGCAGCATGCCGATGAGACTTCTCTTTGCTTGTGCACTTGTCAGTGTGTTACTTGTGGGCAATACAATTAGGTCACCTCCCCAAACCCAGCATGTGATTGGATGGTGAAGGGCAGCTGCATGGTGATGAAACATCCCTCTGCTTGTGCACCTCTCAGCATGTTTCTTGATAGCACATGTCTACTGCAGCACACCTCACATCCCAGTTCTGCCCCTTCCCCGTCCAGGTTCTGTGGTACAGGGGGTGGCAGGAGGCTAATGCCAGGTCAATTTAAATACTTTCACTAGTTGCATTTAAATATACTGTGCACATTTAATGGTGTACAGGTCACAACTAGGTCACTTCCCCAAACCCAGCATGTGATTGGATGGTGAAGGGCAGCTGCATGGTGATGAAACATCCCTCTGCTTGTGCACCTCTCAGCATGTTTCTTGATAGCACATGTATACTGCAGCACACCTCACATCCCAGTTCTGCCCCCTTCCCTGTCCAAGTTCTGTGGTACAGGGGATGGCAGAAGGCTATTGCCAGGTCAATTTAAATACTTTGACTAGTTGCATTTAAAAATACTGTACATTCAGTGGTGCATGGCTGTATTATTTGGAGCTTATTTATACGTGCCTGGAGTTGTACTTGTAAACAAAATTGCACATTTCGCCTCTCTTTGCCACCATTCATTAACATTTTGTGTTGCTGACAAGGAACATGCTGATGTCTCATCATCATGCTGGTGCCCGTCACTGTCCAATCACATTCGTTCCCTTTGCAGAGAAGTGGCTGACCCCCTAATCCTTCTTGTGGCTGCCACAGAACACTGATGGGCCTCCAGAACAGGGGTGTATTGGGTGGAAAGCTGGAAATGGGCTTTAATGCCTTGGTCTCTGAAACTCCATTCACAGAAATTGAAAACAAATACGAAAGGAAGATGCGCATTCTGCGAGATGAACTGGATATGCGCAGGAAGACGGATATTCACGAGGTGGAGGAGAGGAAGAACGGACAGATCAACACACTGATGAAAAACCACGAGAAGGCCTTCAGCGACATCAAAAACTATTATAATGACATCACACTTAATAATCTGGCTCTGATCAACTCCCTTAAGGTAGAATGAGCAGGACGCATGGGTTCAATATATATTAACCCCTTCGTGACAGGAGACGTACAGTGTGCGTCCCGTCACAAAGTGGCTATATGACTGGCCACGTACACTGTACGTGCTGAGTTATATTAGCCTCTGTAATGCTGGTAACTGCTGATTCTCAGCAGTTCCAGTCATTAATTAATGCCTCACTATTGAGACATTCATTAATGAAATAGTTAAGCTTTTTTAAAAGCTTCTTTCATGAATGAAAGAATGAAGCCTTTACATTCAGATACGGGTTCGCTAAATAGCAAAATGTACAAAATGTATCAGTTTTGATCGTCTAGGAACGATCAAAAACCTTTAGTGAGATCTGATTCTGACATGCTGTCAGGATCAGTCTCTAAAGTTATTATTAGCTGTCCCTGAGCTTGGAGCAGCCTGATAATAACTAAAAATTTTAAAAAGTTAATTTATTAAGCAGTCATAGTGATTGCTTGATATAAACTGACAAAATAATTTTTTTTTTTTTTACACTTATTTTTTTTACAAAGTGTAAAAAAAAAAGTGTACAAAAAATTAGGAAAATAAAACTTTAAAAAAATTTTTTTTTTTTTTACACTTATTTTTTTTACAAAGTGTAAAAAAAAAAGTGTACAAAAAATTAGGAAAATAAAACTTTTATTTATAAATATATTTGTATACTATAATTATTATTAAAAAAATTCTAAAAATAATAATAATCAAAACTTGCTGCTGTGGAAGAATCACACAGCAAAAATGTAAAAAATGTGTCAGTCATTTAGGAACAGAAACTAAAAACTAGCTCAGTCATGAAGGGGTTAAAATAATAATATAGTAGAACAGCCAATACATTTAAAATAAAACCAGATAAACAGCTTTTAATAATCAAGTATTCAAAATGAAGGTAGTGTAATGGGGAATTTGCCTTCATTAGCAGCCTACATGCTGAACAGAAATAATAGATCCTAGTCAGAGGTCCCAAGATCTAGTATTTTCAGTAATCGCAGCCTCTGTTTCTCCAGTACAGGACTTCTTTAATAGAGCAGTCAAATTGTGATGTGTAGGTTAACAATATCTCCAGTACAGAGGCTACCATAATGGTTATGCTTGGCATCCTTCTAGTGATAGGTTAAACATTCAGTTGTGGAGTTCCTCTTTAGGCTATGAGCTGATGGTCTTGGTCTACACTACTTTCATATGCCCTATAGTTATAACATCATTTTGTCAAACCCAGTACCAGTAGTCATTAAATCTTGCATCAACATGAGCCTATAAGCTACTTAGTATGAGGTAATGACTAGTTTCACTGTGTAGCTCACAGATTCATAGGACTGAAGAGTGATTTTTACAAAACAATGACTCTGCCTATTGCACAGCAGCCTTTAACACTTTATAGTGTATGTTAGGGCTCGTTCACACATATAGATGTGACCTGCGTTGTACAGGATCAAGGCAGGTCACTGAAAGGTGGATCAAGGCAGGTCACTGAAAGGATACATATTTAACAGTTGTTTCCTATGTGTCCCATTCATACCACAGTGCAGTGTGCTGTGAAAAATGCAAACATGCTGAAATTTATCACAGTGCACTGCATGACACCACTGGTCACTGCTTATCAACACAGCACAGGGTGCGTTGTCACTTTAGGACAGGAAGTATGTTACTATAAGGTTCAGCAGGTAATAATAAAAGATACACAGCCTGAATAAAATAAAACAAATGCAGCCTCGTCATCTAAGGACAGGTAAGCTAATATTGAAAAACGTGTCCTTTAATTTCCTTTTACTGGTAAAAAGGAAAATTGAGATTACCAGTAACGACAGATAGGGCTTAAATCCATTGGGTGGAGATAGTTTGTATCTGAATTCCAGTGTTTTAGTTTGTTCTCCACCAGATACAGCCTATTGTGTTCCCACTCACAGGAGCAGATGGAGGACATGAAGAAGAAGGAGGACCGGCTGGAGAAGGAAATGGCTGACCTCCAGTTACAGAACCGCAGGCTGACTGAACCTCTACAGAAGGCTCGAGAGGAGGTGGCAGAACTCCAGAGACAACTGGCCAACTATGAAAAGGACAAGACTTCCCTGGCTGTAAGTGCAAGCTCTTTTATAGTGGAAAGTATATTTATATGGGTCTTATGGAGTCTATTAGAAAGCTAAAGGTGAACTCCCTATATATTGGAGGTGTTTCAGCTGCCAAATGACTTGTATTTCTTACCCATATGCCCCGGGGTTTACACTCCACTGCCAGAGCGGAGAGCCAGGTAAGACTCCTTACTGTCATACAGTAACCCTAAAACTAGCTCTCCCTTAGAGTGACTTTGTGAGCTTACCAACCAAAAATAAGCTGCTATCGAGTATGAAGCACATACACCTAGAAGTCTTCTTGCAGCAGCTTTCAGTGATTGCCTTCTGTTTGAATGCCTATTTAACATTTCATATTTTCATGACCATAATAAAAAGGAGGGAGGGAGGAAGGATTGATTTCCTTTAGGCTTATGAGGCTTGTTGCTGCCTCAGGTCATTCTTCATCAGCATTTTTGCATCCCTACCGGGATTGTTAGTCTTGTAGCTGATCATCAGTTTTGGTCAAACAGCTATATTACTGACAGTTCTAAGCAGAGCACTGCTGCCAATCAGCAGCAAGAGGGGCAAACCTTGTGGAAAGGGGAAATCCCCTTTTAATTGTACAGGGAAGAAATTGCTACTTTTTAAGGCACAAGGAACTTTTATCAGGTTAATTTATCTTTTTTTTTATGATTTATTCTTTTTGGCTTCTAGCTGACCTCTAATATTAATAATAATAATGATTCCAGCTAATTGGAAAAAGAGAGATGATATTATTGTATCCATGCAGACTGAACACAGACTGCAAATCACACTTGTAAAGGTAAAGTACAAATTTACACAGAGTTTTCAGAGCTACTATCTAGGCATTGCTAGAGAGATTGTATAGGAGAGAGGGAGTCTAAAAAGGGCTTAATGCACAGGCAGTGTTGGCTTGGATAGTATGAGGAATGGCATTGATCACTTTAATTTATGGTCCATTTTAGAACTAGGAGAGTGCACCTGTGCATTCTTCTAGATTTCAGACCATACCGTCAGTGATAGCCATTGGACTTCACCAGAGGTTTGCAAACTCCGGGCCTCCAGCTTTGCTGCAGCTACAAATTCATTTAGGCACTCAAGACTCTGGCAGTCACAGGCATGACTCTCAGAGGCAGACGCATGAAGGGATTTGCAGTTTTACCACAGCTGGAGGGCCGTAGATTTCCTACTCTGATCTACACTAACAGTCATTTCTCTATTCTCCATTGAGTGACACAACTCTGAAGAATTCGGAGACGTAGGGTTATGCTGCTGCCTCGTAACCCTATGTCTCAGAATTCTTCAGAACTGTGTCCCTCACAGGATTTTACGGTAAAAACAAAATCCTTTTATACCGTGATCATGTGACCACTATCACATCTGGATCTAAGCCTCAAACAGAGAAAGATATGGTGACAGTTGAAACCAGCAGACTGCAGCCATCAAAAAAAAGTGAAAACAAAACTTCAAATTTGTTGATTACAAATGTGTCTAAAATAACCAAGAATATGTTTAAAACCTTTTTTATCCATTTGCAACTGTATTAATGCAAAACCGTTTCATAATGCGGGTGTACAGAATAAAATCCAATGCCTTCTGTACATTTCACAACTCTATTCCCCCATCCGCTGTGTCATGTCATTATTCACGCTTGGATATACCATACGTACATATGTGAATCTGCCTGACAGCCGGAAGACTTATCATGACACGTCCAGCTCCTGTCACTCCCTAAACGGCTTTCTGTCACTGTGCGTCATGTCACAAAGCCCTGCACCGTGGAGGTGACAGCCTATAAATAAATGATTGTAATAATTGTTTATTTTCTCCTTGCAGAGTACAAAAGCACGTCTGAAATCCACAGAGAAGGAGCTAAATGATCTAAAATGGGAACACGAGGTGTTAGAACAAAGATTCCAGAAGGTGACCATTGAATGAGTGCAGCTCCACTGCATGGGATGATGTATTATAGAGTTTAGGTATTCGATGACAATGCTAAGTATGGCTCCACAGCTAAGAGTGATGTATTATAGGGTTCAGGCAATAGATGGCCATTCTAAGTGTATCCCTTCAGCTAAGTATGATGTATTATAGAGTTCAGGCATTATATGACAATTTCTAAGTGGGGTTTAACAGCTAAGGAAGATGTATTATAGACGTCTGGCATTAGATGGCCATGCTGAGCGTCACCCCACAACTAAGGATTATGTATTATAGAGTTCAGGCAATAGATGGCCATGCTAAGCGTCACCCCACAACTAAGGATTATGTAGTATAGAGTTTAGGCATTAGATGGCCATGCTGAGTCTCACCCCACAACTAATGATTAGGTATTATAGAGTTCAGGCAATAGATGGTCATGCTAAGCGTCACCCCACAACTAAGGATTATGTATTATAGAGTTCAGGCAATAGATGGTCATGCTAAGCGTCACCCCACAACTAAGGATTATGTAGTATAGAGTTTAGGCATTAGATGGCCATGCTGAGCGTCACCCCACAACTAAGGATTATGTAGTATAGAGTTTAGGCATTAGATGGCCATGCTGAGCGTCACCCCACAACTAAGGATTATGTAGTATAGAGTTTAGGCATTAGATGGCCATGCTGAGCGTCACCCCACAACTAAGGATTATGTAGTATAGAGTTTAGGCATTAGATGGCCATGCTGAGCGTCACCCCACAACTAAGGATTATGTAGTATAGAGTTTAGGCATTAGATGGCCATGCTGAGCGTCACCCCACAACTAAGGATTATGTAGTATAGAGTTTAGGCATTAGATGGCCATGCTGAGCGTCACCCCACAACTAAGGATTATGTAGTATAGAGTTTAGGCATTAGATGGCCATGCTGAGCGTCACCCCACAACTAAGGATTATGTAGTATAGAGTTTAGGCATTAGATGGCCATGCTGAGCGTCACCCCACAACTAAGGATTATGTAGTATAGAGTTTAGGCATTAGATGGCCATGCTGAGCGTCACCCCACAACTAAGGATTATGTAGTATAGAGTTTAGGCATTAGATGGCCATGCTGAGCGTCACCCCACAACTAAGGATTATGTAGTATAGAGTTTAGGCATTAGATGGCCATGCTGAGCGTCACCCCACAACTAAGGATTATGTATTATAGAGTTCAGGCAATAGATGGCCATGCTAAGTGTCAAGCCATTCATTCTCAAATCTCCACGGCTGGACTACAAAACACCTCTCCCTTTAAATTTATGAGGAAAGGGGGAGGTATTCTGTATTTGAAAGAAGAGATCTGGGCAGGGCTGACAACACTGTTTGAGATTTCAGTGACAGCAGTAGTAGAGCTGTCAGCTCACTATAGGAAGTCACTGGATATTTGGCAGGACTAACAGGTATTGTGCTTTTCTTGCATGGTCTTTAAATAGATAAAACCTGGGGAGATGTGCCTATATTGCTGAGATGTACTGAATAGTTTTGTAATATGCCAGACTTACACTTTAATGAACAAACATGCTAATTCAGGCAAGTTTTGTCTAAGCGATACCCTATGGCCAGTGTAGTTTGGTATCTGGCCACTAGGTGGTGCTGTCATATAATCTGAGAATTACATAGTTTGCAGTTCCAAACTTTATTTATACACCTATAGTCAGAATAACATTTAAATAAACTGAGTGGCCAGATTATTATGACCACCTGATGTTTGTAGGCAAATTAGCTATAATTTTGCGCTGAAGTTGCTAGAGGGCCAGACCATTATAAATAGAGAAGCAGGTTGTTTACTACGACAGTAGAAGGGATTTTTTCCTGAAGATACGGGGAAACAAGCCTTTGAGCGTGGGATGATTGTTGGCGCTCGGAGCCATGGAGCGAGTATCAGCAAAACAGCAGAATTCGTTAAATGTTCAAGAGCAGCTGTTGTTAAAGTGTTTAAAGACTGGACTGTCAGCCGGAAATCTGGGTCTGAACGTGCGAATTGTGGCCGTCAGTGACTAGTCAATGTTAGGGCAGAACGGAGAGTGGCAAGACTGGTACAAGACAACAGAAGGGCAACAGTGCAGTGTCAGATTCCTCGCATCACCTTTCAACCTCTCGTGCAGTCACGAGGCGGCCCAACAAAGTCATCTCGTAGCCCAACGAAGTACTGATGGGGTGGTCATAATAATCTGGCCACTCAGTGTATATTAGTGTATTGTATTTCTCCTCTCTGAACTTTCAGTGCAACATCAGAGACTGTAGAAATGTAATTAAAGCTGGCTACACACATTACAATGTGAATGTACAATCTTTACATTGACCAATAACTATGTAACGCTAAACCTTCCTGATTGGATGTAAATAGAATAGGTGGTGTAGGTAGCGCTTCATGCTTATGGGAAGGAGAATGTACAGAGATTGTATAATTAAATTGCAATTTGTGTGGCCAGTTAAAGGGTCAGTTCACTCATTATTGATGTTTCATTGTATAAGCATAGCCTGGGAGAGGAGTTTGCCATTCAACTTCTTATATGCTTAAGGACCAGGGATGAGGTTTCCATGCCATAGTTCCCAGCTCTTTGGAGTCTCATTTTTCCTGTTTCATTTGTTAGTACAATTAAAAAAAAAAACCTTCATAGAGAGTGAGCTTTCCTCAAAAACTTCACAGCAGATGTGCTGACCTGGGAACATAAGTAGTAAAATATTTCACCAGCACACCTTGGTCAAGTCGGTGCAGTAGGATTCTCCTGTATCCTGACCTGGTAACATAAGTAGTAAAATATATCACCAGCACACCGTGGTCAAGTCGGTGCAGTAGGATTCTCCTGTATCCTGACCTAGTAACATAAGTAGTCAAATATTTCACCAGCACACCTTGGTCAAGTCTTTAAAAAGTGATCATTTTATTGCTGCACACACATCTTGTCACATTGCAATGTTTCGGGGCCACTCAGGGTCCCTTCCTCAGGCATGGTCCCTTTCTGCGGTGCCATCCGCAGTCACTACAGCACCCACCACAAGGGATATACCAGAAAGGAGTGCGGTAGGATTCTCCTGTATCCTGACCTGAGAACATAAACGCACAGATTTTACCATCAGAATACTAGTGGAAACTAAGCCATCCGCTGATTCACTCCCCGGCATTTGTCAAAGTCTAAAAGTTCAGCTTGTGGTGGACTGACCCTTTAAGTTTTGTTGTTTTGTATATAACAGATTTTGGTGTGCTCCTAATATAGGTACAGGTGGAGCGTGATGAACTATACAACAAGTTTACAGTCGCCATTCAGGAGGTTCAGCAAAAGAGCGGCTTCAAGAATCTGCTGCTGGAACGGAAGTTACAGGCACTTGGTGACATCCTCGAGAAAAAAGAAGCACAGCTGAATGAAGTGCTCGCAGCCTCAAACCTAGACCCCACCGCCCTCAGCGCTGTCACTCGCAAACTAGAGGTAAGTTTTGTATTTACTAGGGGCCAGTGGTAATGGGCTTCTGTTTGTATCAGAACTGTTTCTCTTCCCATATGAGTCAACAGAGATGCAAAATCTATTGCTCATCAGCATGTCCCTATGATTGGAACCAATTTCATACAGGATTATATTCCTAAAATAATTATTTTAGGAATATAATATTTGCTTCTGTCTGGAGATTTTAATTTTCTATTCTAGGAGGTGTAGTGTGTTCTTCAGCCTGTAGCTCCACTTTTCCTTTCCTGTATTATATGAATAAAATAGTTTGTTAGATTGTACATTTTTCAATGAATTTTTATTTCCATGTGCCCAAGTGGTTTAGCATACGATGGTCATGTTATAAATGACCAGAAATCCTCTATACTGAGTGTTCCTGTTCATTCATAACATGAGGACAGAGTGTGTTTACTATAACCACAATGATGAATGAACAGGAGGGGATGTAGATCACTTCCCATTCATTCATAATTGAGGGTATAGTAACCATACTCCGTCCCCAATTATATATGTATCTCCTTCCTGACACGCTGTCACAGGAGGCTGAGCAAGCAGTGCGGGAGGAGAGCTCGGCCTCCTGTGACAGCGCTGGCTGTCTCCGCCCACACACTGCTCTCCCCTGATCTGTGACAGGAGGTTGAGCGGTGCGGGGAGGTGAGACGCCGGCCGCTCACAGCGCTATCCTCCCGCAGCGCTCAGCCGCCTGTGACAGTTTCTCTCCTCCCCGCTGGGACACAGAGCAGCGCCCAGCGGGGAGGAGAGAAAAAATGGATATACCGCTGTATCGGCCAGAAAATGGCACTTTTAGCTATGACTAAGGTTCAGTGTTCGGGCTGACACGCGTAAGCGTTTGTACGTGCTGTTTTATGCCAAGATGAAATACAGAGATTTTTTTAGATGGGTCCCATTTGGTGTGCTGGTAATCTTGTATTTGAAGGGTCACAGCATTAGAAGTGTATTACTGTGCCCCCACGGAAGAGGTTTCCCCTCACTTCCTGTTCTGGTGACAAGGGGTTGGGGGAACAGGAAATTATGAGAAGTCTTTCCAGTGGGAATAGAAACAGCAACAAAGCACTCTCTATCATTAGAGGCGTTGAAGGGTTAAAACTTATGTAAGTTTTATTTTTATTGTCTTTACCTTTCTGCCGTGGTAACTCTTGTTTACCTAACCTCCTGTCCTGGTGGTACCGTTGCAGAAAATAAGGGGAAATCTCCCCAATGCTGACACAACAGCTATAAAACCTGACACAGGCTCTAACCCAGGGGTAGGCAACTTTGGCACTCCAGCTGTGGTGAAATTACACATCCCATCGTTCCACTGCCTCTAGTAATCATGCCTGTGAGACTCATGGCTCATGTAACAGTTGGAGTACCAAGGTTGCCTACCCCCAGTCTAACCTTTCCCCAGGTTATCTAACATTAAAAAAGAAAATTGTTCAGCTGGAGCTGGGTCTTATGTTGAGTTTACACGGGTGGCAGCCTCCAGCGCCCTCTGGAGGTGGAGCAGCGGCTGCCCGCGTTAAGGAAGGCGGTAATGCCGCCTCCTTGAATGCTGTTTTTTTTTTCAATCCCAATGCAAACTTTCTGTTGCAATATTGCACCGCAACTATGCAATTCCAATTATTGTAATATGTTATATATTGTTTGCTGCAATGCAAAGCATCGTGTCCAAGTCAGTGTATACAACACTGTTTGGCCACAGTGCTGTGCTGACACTGCAACAGGCGACCCGGAGAGGGGTAAAACTAGACGGTTGATCTGCAGTTTGTCGCCCATGTGAACAAGGCTTTAAGCTACAGAGAATGCAGAGACAAGAATAGGTAGGGCTTAGGTGCAGGCGATAAGTTGGGGTGGAGGGTTAATGCCACTTTAAAGTTCTCCTGGCTGACTTTCCTTTGGTTCGTGAAAAGTTTGGGAACTCCCATTGTTTATGATTAATGTACAGCAGGAATCTTGTAAGTTTACCTTGCATCACTTTCCCCACATCAATAAACACGTCTTATTCTCTCTTTACCCAGGATGTATTAGACTCCAAGAACAACGCCATAAAGGACTTGCAGTATGAACTAGCCAGAGTGTGCAAGGTAAGAATGACTATGGGACATGTGGAGAAGACATCTGGTGTTGTCCCTTTTTTCTGTCCATGCAGGGCAAAGTAAGAGGGTTACTTTACTATGGGGCACCCCCACCCCACCAGTAAATACATCTCATCCCCCTTATGTTACCTGTGGATATCTATGGACTTGACTCAACACATAGGAAGGAAATCTATATGTAACTTATGTAGAAACTAAAAGATAAAGTGATATTTAGGGGGGAGTTGAAAATGATGGTAAAGACAATGTGAGACACATAGGAAGCCAGCATGGGATTCACCCAATCAGGGTTCACCTGTAAACAAAATGTCATTTTTGGGCAGACTTTTCCTTTAAGGGCTTGTTCACACCAAAAGTGTGTGCGTTCCAGAGCGGTAGCTGCTGGAACGCAGCGTGATCGCTAGGAAACTTCCCTGCGTTCTGGGGCATGGCATTGAATTCAATGGCATCACTTCCACCTCCCCAGTGCGATCAGACGTGTGGCAAAACTTTGCCGGCATTCCACTGCAAACACAAAAAATAGAGCAAGCCCTATTTTTTGCGTTTGCAGTGGAACGCTGGCAAAGTTTTAACACGCGTCCGATCGCACTGGGGGGGGGGGGGGGGGGGGGGGGGGGGCGTGGAAGCGGTGCCATTGAATTCAATTCCACGCCCCCGAACGCAGGGGAAATTTTCTTAGTGATCGCGGTGTGTTCCAGCAGCTACCGCTCTGGAACGCACATGCTTTCGTTGTGAACAAGCCCTGGAAGGCTTTTGTCCTACTGCATTTGCCCAGCTGATCACTGTCTGTTGGTCTCTTTCAGGCACACAATGACCTACTCCGAACATACGAGGCCAAGATGCGGGCATTTGGCATCCCTGTGGATGAGCTGGGATTCAAACCTCTGGAGAGCCTGGTTCCTGGGCAGACCTTTGGGCAAGGCCCAGCCGGACTGGTTGCCGCTAGCACCTAAAACAGCACTGTCACTTCTTCAGGAGGCTGGGAAGACCATTTAGGAGACTGACACTTTTAAGACCTTGCGCAATAAAGTATTGTACCCTGTTAGCCATCAGTCAGTGCAGAAGGGCGTGGAGTATGAATGCTGACCATACACATGGCAGTTTTCAGGCAATTTTAAAAACTTTTCACCAACTTTATATATCACAAATGACTGAGCAGATCAATGGGGCCTTCCGCCAGTCTCTTTTAAAGCTGTACAACAATCAAAATTTAAGGTGTTAGATTGCCTTAAAGACCAACTCTAGGCACAATACCCTTACCAGGGTTATAACAGTCATTCATTCCACATATGAAAAGTAACCCCACCATCATATCGGCCTTTTTCTAAATCCATCAACTCTGCTCCTTTTATATACTGGGATTAGTACAGTTTCTGCTGTATTATGGCCCACTCAGATGTATGCACCGCAGGTCTCATTGAGCCCATGTGGTCGTGTCTCCACCTTCCCTTCCTCCAGGCCATTCACAAAAAACACAGACCCAAGCTTCATTTTGTGAATGGTTAGAGGAGAGGGAGGAAGAGGCACAAACACAGCTCTGGGGTCTATAAAACCTGCAGCTTTACATCCAGACTAGTCCCGGAACTAGTCTACATGTAAACGCCTGCATGACGGGGGTTACTTTTTGATATATAATGAAAACCCTGGTAAGTTTATTGCCCCTGGAGTTGGGCTTTAAACTATTTTAAAGAAAGTGGTAGAAAATTGTCTTAAAATTGCTGACCAACGTATGTGTCAGAACGCACAGCATTCTGTATTCTTATCCAGCAGCCAATCAGTTGCTCCCTCGCTGCAGCTGTGGAAATTAGAGACCATAAAGAAGACATTGATTGGTGGCTAAGACGGGCGCACAGACTGTCCTCCAGTCAGACACGTCATCCGCAAGGCCTTTTGTGTACACACTGCTCTATTTGCACAGGGCCCTTTCATCAGCAAGGTAAAAAAGGATATTTATTTTTCATAGGAAACCTTGCTCTTTTATCATTTCAGAAAACAAAGCATTCCATAAACTATTTTTAAAACATCCATAATGCTTGTGTGACATTATTCAACCAGAGATTGCATTGAAAGGCAATTTCAGTCAAACAGTAGAAGTTGTTCTCCGATGCTTGGATACTTCTTATATCAGATCTTTTTGTATTTTATGCAGGTAGCCCTTGGCTTTGCAAAACCTCAATTATGCATTCCAGCTGCTTTATCTGAATTACCACTCATTGCTGGGTGCAGTTCCAACTTCCAAACCCTCCCTTAAAGTGACACTAAACTCAGGAGATAAATCCTAAAAATACATTCAAGTACCTTAAATATTAACAAAAATGTATCTTATTTGTGTATCACTCGGTTGTAGATCCTCCAATCATCTGTGAATTGGTGCTGACACTGTCCTTCCTTCTGGAGGGTGGCTACTTTTGTTCCCCATGGTCCCTGTGTGTGTTATAAAGTAGCCACCGCTCCGAGCTCGCTCCCGTGATGGACTACAATCTCTATACACATTATTAAATTATACGGGAGATTGTAGTCCATCCTGGGAGTGAGCTTGGAGCGGTGGCTACTTTACAACAAACACAGGGACCATGGGGAACAAAAGTAGCCACCCTCCAGAAGGAAGGACAATGTCGGCACCAAATCAGAGATGATTTGAGGATCTGCAGCCGAGTGATACACAAATAACATACATTGTTGTTAATAGTTAAGGTATGTGAATGCATTTTTAAGATTTAAAGCAGACCTTTACCCATATCTTTAATATAACAACAAAAGCACCTTTTAGAAATGTTTAGTAATGACAATCTACAAGCACATACTTCTAGATAATTTCCCGGTTTGTATCCTTTGCATATCTTATTTCTCTTTTCTTCCCCAGTCTTCTGGCAGTGGCCATGTTTACTAAGGGCAGATTGCCATCTCTCCTATTACTTCCTTCATTTCTGGCACATATGACTGGGACATGTGACCATGAGCATCATCTCAGAGGAGGACAATGCCTTTCGCTGAGATCTCATAAGATTACAGATGAGATTTCCCAGCAATGCTCTGCTGATGTAACCTTCCCAGGATGCATTGCATTGGCAAACTAAAGTAATTTGCACTTTCAAAGCAGGAAGTGAATGCTCTGCAAGTGTAAGTATTTCTAAATCACAGCATTTTACACCTGACATGTCTATGTTATTATTAATCATTATACATAGAGGGATGCATTGGTAGAATCTGATTTTTGAGTGTAAAGGTCCGCTTTAACTCCCAAGTTTAGTGTCACTTTAAATATGCATGATTTGCAAGGCTACCTAAACCCCACCCTCCTTGATTCCCCGCATGAAAAACTATCTCATAAGGGCAGACTGGAATTTGTCAGTCACTCTTGTTCTCTACCATTTTGATGGCAGGTCCGCTACTGTTCTGTGGGGGGGTGTGACAGTGTGATATGATAAAGTATTACACATAGCATATTTTAACTACCTCATGACCAGCTGACTTCTATAATCTAGACACCAATTCTCTTTTCATTTTTGCAAGATGTCATAGGCTGCCCCACTTTAGCAGTTTTTTGTTTGTCCAGTTAAAAACGACTAATATGAAAAAACAGCAATTCATTCAACATACATTTATTTTTTTTAAAAATCTGGGAGGTCTTCATTTTTAATGGTCTCATTACTGAATTATGACATATTAGCAGTATGTGGCAGCATTTCGCCCCGGCCCAGCCTGCCCCTGCCCATGCCCTCAACTCTCTAGCTCCCTCTGTAGGTGGAATAGGAAAATGGAGTAATCAGGAGAGGCACGTGATATTTCTGTTTTGGGTCAATAATGGTGAAAACAACCTAGAGAGAGAAAAAAATAACCAGTTAGAATTTCCATATCATCTGAAGGTACTTAAAGGAGAACTATGAGGTGAGACTGTCACAGGTCGGCTTAGTAGATTGGGAGGTGAGCGAACACATACCAGCGTTCGCTCACCTCTCGATCCTCTCACGGCTCTCTGCCGTGACAGTGGAGGGGATGGATTCCCCCCACCCCGCTCCGATCTGCCAGCACTGACTGGCGGAACGTACGGGGGAGGGTACAGCTGGCTCTGCCTCTAGATAGGCAGAGCCAGCTGTCAGTCACGCAGCTGGGCGGATCCAGACATAATTGTCGGGATCCGCTTCAGCTGCGGCGTCTCAGTATACCGCGAGCTACAGCTTGCGGTATACTGAGCCTAGGGTGATGGGAGAACGCTAGTTTGTGTCCTCCCGTTACCCTAAGGAGAACTATGGGGAAAAGCCTTAACCCCATAGTTCTCCTTTTTAAAGGACAAGTATCGCAAAATATAATGTAATCTGATAAATGTATGGGGCTATCATATGCTGTTTTTGTTACTTGTAGTGATAGTTTTCAGTATACAAATTCCTTTTTTCCCTCCCCTATTATATCTGCCTTGTTACATTTTTCTCAAATTTAACCTGCAGGCCAAACTGTCCAGCAAAAGGAACAGTGACAGGGTTTGGGACAATCTAGAACACGGACACAGGTTATCAAAATTACAGAGAGGGGAATTTATCAATACTGGAGCAAACAAAGTGTGGAGCAGCTGTGCAGGGCAACCAATCGGCATCCACCTTTCATTTTCAAACCTTAAGTGAACAAACTGAAGAGAGAAGCTGATTGGTTGCCATAGGCAACTGCTCCAGATTCTTCTGCTCCAGTTTTGATAAATTCCCCTCAATATTTTTGCAACAGTGTTCCTTAACAGTAAAACTGTGACATCTACATATATGGGAAATTGACCCCCTCATCTAACACAGATAGGTAAGAGGTTTTATTTGAAGTGCACCTGTGGTGTTTCAGGCTGTAGACGGGCCCCCTAGACTATATTAAAGTTTCTGTCTTTGATTTATCTCTAGTCCCAAAACTGAGGGAGGGGATTTATCAAAACTGGAGAAGACAGAATGTGGAGTGTTTGCCCATGGCAACCAATTTCATTTGCATAGCTTAACGGAACAAACTGAAAAGAGAAGCTGATCGGTCACTATGGGTAACTGCTCCAGATTCTGTCTACTCCAGTTTGGATACATTTCCCCCCAAGGTGTCTTATTCTGCAAATTGGAACTGGAGATGGTCTCACTCTGGGTCACCCAAGCCCCTTCCCCTCTGACCTCATTTTTTAGCCTTTAAATGTTATCAATGCTTGAATGGCCAATAGTAAGGACCAAGAAGAAATCCTATAGCATTACCATCCAAGATCTGGTAGGCATCTGGTTCACAGTGTGGGCCTTGCGGCTACACATGGGGGACAGTTTACCACCTTTGACACACCAGAGAGGAATTCTACAAATGTGTATGAGCTAACGCCTAGTATTTCCCATAGGCCTCATATAGTACTGGCTCTAGATCAGTGTGTACTTGTGTGGTTTCATGCCAAGCAACATGGCTGCGCTGAACCTAGCAGGTCTTCCTGGGCTGGGAGGATGACGTCAGTGCGGGATTGCAGCCTTCCAGAGGAATGATTGGGTAGTTTAGAATCGAACAATCCATAATGAGCGCTCAGATATGCAATGTTTTGCAGAGAAATTTGCAGCACGCTGGGACATCTCTACCCCATCAAGGATCCAATGTTACAGTGATTATCAATTCACTGCAAGTATAGGAGACAGTCTAGGCCCTTGGTTCTCAACTGGTGGGTCATGACCCAAAAGTGGGTCACGACCCCGTATTCAGTGGGTCGCCGTATGCCTTCCAATTTTCTAGGTGAGGAGCTCCCCAACCTCCCCCTAGCGTAGCACTGTCCATTCTTACACCGAGGAGCCATTCAAAATATGCTGCCCGGCGCCAAGCGTCAACTTGAGGTGGGGTGGGCTGGCAGTATGGCCGCGAAGAAGCTCCATCCATACGTACATTGCTTATAACTCCTTCACATGTCCTGTAGAGGTGCCCGGACTGGAATGACATCACATTCTGGCTCCCAGCTACTGTACAGGCGCGCATGGGAGCTGTATAAGTAATGCACATATGAATGGAGCTCCAGCACAGCAGCCCACACTGCCGTGCGTTCCATTGTAGTGCGACTTGGGTCGCGACTTAATCATCGAGGACAAATGTGGGTCCTGAGGTTACACAGGTTGAGAACCACTGGTCTAGGCCATGCCGGCTTCTGCAGAACCAATCGTCTGATCAGGTTCCTGGCAAGCCCCTGTTCCAGAGGAATGCTACCAGAAACCACATAGGCACTACATTCCCTTCTGCTGTCAGCATACGTATGTACAACTCCTATGAAATAAAACAGAATGCCTTATTTATGAAAGTGAACAAAATCACTACTAGGATCCAATCAGAACCTGCCTTCCTTCACCAGGGTCGATGAAAGCCAGGATCTGGTTGGTTGCTATTGTCAAGGACAGTTCTCTGATAGGACACGCTTATAAGTAAAGACAGATACCTCTACGTAAGGGTAGAAGGTCTCATGTTTTTGCTGCTTCCAGTAGTCACCAGTATCAAAACGCAGCTGGAAGGTCCCGGCTGTAAGAGGTTCTCCACGTAAAAGCCCCGGGCTGCGGCCATCCTCATCGGTGATGCTAGACAAGACATATGGAGCCAAAGCAGTGAAAGCTGAATTCCGATTTATCGTACTGAATATAGAGCTTACCACAGGGCTCAGTACACTCACCTCCTGCTCACATGTTCCCATTTTGCTTCTCTGGCATTAAACTTGGACAAGGTCAGTGTCAGGCCTTTAGCCGGGATCCCTTCCACCGTATTTAGGACATGTGTGCTCAGCAGGCTCGGCACGCTCCCCGCCATTTCCTTAAAGTGAGAAAATCACATTGTTGATTAAGGGATATAGTGGGATTGAATGGTCTTTCTGAAAGTCTATTTTAGGGATACGGGATTACCTAGTAACATTTGGTCTAAACAAACAAAACTTGAGTTAAAGGACAGGGGTGGAGACCGGGTGACACCCCCCAGTGATGTAATCGCGCATGCGCGTGATGATGTCATTGTGCATGCGCAGTCATCTAATTGACGCCTGCTGGTCGGCCATCTTGGTGATGGATGCAGGCAGAGAGATGAGGGGACGTTCACCCGGCGGGATGAGGTATGCCGCCGGGTCCTCTCCTGACACTGTCGGGCTCTCTGTCCATGACCGAGTGCCCGACTTTTTAGAGGAGGGTGACACCAAAATGACTGTCAGTCATTTTGGTGTCAACCCTCCAATGGTGTCACCCAGGTGCAGGCTGCACCCCCCTTGTGACGCCACTGTTAAAAGGAGAAGCTATGTGTCTCGTAGCTGAAATTCTAATGCTTAGGTACTACTTAAAGAGGAACGTTATCCATATCTTCAAAATAACAACAAAGACCTCTTTAGAAATGTTTTAGTAATGACAATCTACAAACACATACTTCTAGATAATTGCCGGCTTTGTATTCTTTGCATTCCTTATTTCTCTTTTCTTCCCCCAGTCTTCTGACAGTGGCCATGTTAACTAAGGGCAGGTTACTAGATCTCCCTTTACTTCCTGAAACTCTGTCACATGTGACTAGGACATGTGACCATGCACATCATCTCATCACTTTCCCTGAGATATCATGAGATTACAGATGAGATTTCCCAGCAATGCTCTGCTGATGTAGCCTTCCCAGGATGCAACGCTTGGGCACAATTTCATAATTTATGCCAAAGTAGATCAAGAAGGTGAAAAAAAAATGTAAGTAAATACAATGTAAGTAAACGTTTTCATATCAGCATGCAGAGCTGTATACTGATGTGATTTTGTAGGGGGTAAAGGTCCACTTTAAAGTTTTCTTTAAGTGATTCCATTACATGGGCAGGCCTAATGTAAAAAATTATTGTCATGTTCTCTTGAAAGAACTTTCCCCTCACTCGCTTACACTGTATCCGAGTTATGACAGCATTAATTACTTCTTCCTCTCCCTCATGGGACAGTGTTTGAGCATGGCATTTGGAGTGACATGCTCCCCTATATAGGGCTGCAGCTAACGATTATTTTCATAACCGATTAGTTGCCCGATTATTATTATTTTTAAAATGAATCGATTAGTTGCAAAAAATCTCTCTCCAATCAACTAATCGATGATGAGAATAGTTGCCAACTATTCTCAATCAATTATTATCAATTTAATCGATTAGTTGTTGCAGCCCTACCCCTATACTTGGATGCACCAGGTATTTCCTAAAGGGGTTAGATGGAGCGTTGAATAAGTGGGGGAGCACATCAAAGTTGAATATTAGCAGGTTGGAGTTTGTTCTTTGAAGAGAACCTGTCACTTTTATCACAAGTGAGTCTATTTAAGGCTGCATAGTCATAATTTTAGACCGCAACTAGTTCTTCTTTAATGCAACTGAGAAGCACCCAGCAAGTATGTTTGTGGTAAACAATGCTATAAAGGAATACTTTAACAGCTAACTCCAGCCCAAACTGATATTTGCAGAATTCAGTACAGTTTAGGCATCAGGCAATCTGCAACTAGGTACTACCTTCCATAGCCCAATGTCACTGCTCCTTTACAGAAGCACTAGAGAGAATGGGGGTGCACACCGGCCGAGCCCAGCTCCAGACTTCTTTGAGTAATCTGCGACTAGGTGTTGGTGCCCAGACTTGGCCCTTTCAGGTTCCAGCATACAGGGCAGTAACCTTAATCCGGTCTGCGTGGAAATGTTTGAGGCTGGGTTCACACATCTGCAGTGCATAGTGCACATTACATTGTGCATTAACATGCATTGCGCTTTCATTTGCACGGGCTGCCTACAGCTTGCTCTGACTTGCAGTCTCTCTGTACATAAAGGAGAACTATGGGGTCAGTGTTTTTCCCCATAGTTCTCCTAAGGGTAACGGGAGGACACAAACTAGCGTCCTCCCGTCACCCATAGCTCAGTAAACCGCGAGCTACAGCTCGCGATATACTGAGACCGACGCAGCCGGGACAGATCCCGGCATTACTGTCTGGATCCAGTCAGCTGCGTGATTGACAGCTGGCTCTGCCTATCTAGAGGCAGAGCCAGCTGTACCCTCCCCCGTTCGTTCCCCCAGTCAGCGCTGGAGGATCGGACAGGGGAGGGGGGGAATCCCTGCAGGCAGCCATGAGTGACAGTCACGGCTCTCTGCAGGCACAGGATCGAGTAGTGAGCGAGCGACGGTATGTGTTCGCTCACTTCCCAATATATTGAGCCGACGTGTGACAGTTTCATTGTCACACGTCGGCTCGAACTATGAGGATGAGTGATTTTTACTCACCTCATAGTTCTCCTTTAAGAAGCCATTAATTAGCGACTTGCTGTAGGCCAGGGGCAATCTTGGCACCCCAGTTGTGCTGAAACTACAAATGCCATCATGACTAAGCCTCTGGCAGATATGCCTGTGGCTGTCAGTCTTGCAATGCCTCCTGGTACTTGTAGTTCTACAACAGCTAGAGTGCCAAGGTTGCCTGCCCCTGCTGTAGGCACATCGAAGGTCTTCCTACCATTTCCTAAAAGCTAGGTCAAGAGTTTACATCAGATCAGGCTGCTTAAAATCTATGCTTGCGTTCAGAGTTTTACAGTGTCCAGAATTAGAACCTTTTTAATAAGCAACTAGCATATCAACCAACAAGTGCTCTTGTGCTTGTTCAAGTGCCGCCCTCATTATAATAAAGCCGCTTACTGAGCTGCCCTACATGTCTCGATTTCCTCCTAGGCGGTCCACTACAGCGACCTGTGATCAGGTTTACCTAGCTGAGTTCCAGGCAGCACTGCGTACGTTCAGATCTCACTCCGGAGAATACTTTTCCTTCCTGTAGCAGGCGATGCATTGCTGGAATACACCCATGCTGGGTGGGAGGTGTGTACAACACGCAGCCATTCCCATAGTAGTATCGCAGTACAAGCTTCCTATATAAACTGCCATAATAATTACCTGTGTGCCCTGCAGATGCTGCTGAATAAGCTGCAGCCGGGATATGCTCATGGCGAAAGCTATTCGGGTCAGAATTTGGACTTTAGTACCCTGTGGGTCATGTGACTTGAGGGGTCCTGGTTAACTTTTAGCAGCAGACAGTTTTCCTGGTCTTTGAATACAGTGGCCCCTAACCATACCCGAGACTGACCAATGAGTGATCTCAGGAGAGCAAGGGTTGGTTCGTGTGCTTTTTTGTGTGTATGTGTTTTAGTTTTTTACTTTTTAATGTTATTTTTGCATTTCTTACAATGAAGCTGAATGCCAACAAAGATATTGTAGGTGTAACCTAGCATTTCACACATATGCCTTTTACAGACTCTGGAGGTGGTTACACAAGCTCTGAGCTCTCTTGACTGACTTCAGTGAAAATTGAAGCCCGGCTCCAGCCCAAATTTGTTTTTAAAGTGTGTGTTTAGCGTAGCTGGAGGAATCTGTTGCACTTTTTCCATCGGACCCATAGAAAATCTGCAGATAAACTATAGGTGTATGGCCAGCCTAAAGGAGAACTATGAGGTGAGTGCAGTTCTAGCTGACCTGTGACAATGAGACTGTAAAAGGTTGGCTCAATAGATCGGGAAGTGAGCGAACACACACCGGCATTCGCTCACTTCTCGATCCTGTCACGGCGCTCTGGAGCTTGTTATCTCCTGTGTGATAGCAATAAAGTTAGGTGAGACTGCATTCCCCCCTCACCGCTCCGATCCTCCAGCGCTGACTGGCGCAACGGACAGGGGAGGGGGTGGATACAGCTGGCTCTGCCTCTAGATAGGCAGAGCCAGCTGTCACTCACGCAGCTGGGCGGATCCAGACATAATTGTCGGGATCCGTTTCAGCTGCGGCGTCTCAATATACTAAGACGCCACAGTATACCGCGAGCTGCAGCTTGCGCTATACTGAGCTTAGGGTGACGGGAGGACGCTAGTTTGTGTCCTCCCGTTACCCTAAGGAGAACTATGGGGAAAAACCTTAACCCCATAGTTCTCCTTTAAACTTGGGCTCCTGTGAAAGGGAGCATTAGTTGATGGAGTCAGGACTTGGGGTGGGAGGTTCTGTTAAAAGGCTTTTGGTTATTGGGAGGTTGTCTAGGCTGACATGTTGTAGTTACAGCTTTGGGTGACGGGAGGACGCTAGTTTGTGTCCTCCCATGACCCTTTGGAGAACTATGGGGAAAAGCCCTAACCCCATAATTCTCCTATAAAGGAGAACTATGGGGTCAGGGCTTTTCCCCATAGTTCTCCGAAGGGTCACAGGAGGACATAAACTAGCGTCCTCCCGTCACCCAAAGCTCAGTATATGGCAAGCTACAACTCGCGGTATACTGAGACCGCCGCAGCCGGGACGGATCCCGACATTACTGTCGAGATCCACCAAGCTGCGTGAGTGACAGCTGGCTCTGACTATCTAGAGGCAGAGCCAGCTGTACCCGCCCCCTCCCCTGTCCATTCCTCCAGTCAACGCTGGAGGATCGGAGAGGGGAGGGGGGGGAATCCCTGCAGGGAGCCGTGAGTGACAGTCACCGCTCTCTGCAGGTAGATGATCGAGAAGTGAGCGAGCGACGATATGTGTTCTCTCACTTCCCGATCTATAGAGCCGATGTGTGACAGTCTCATTGTCACAGGTCGGCTAGAACTATGAGGATGAGTGAAAATCACTCACCTCATAGATCTCCTTTAAGGCAAATGATGCGGCCTGATGACTTTAGCACAGTTGCAATGCTTGCAGGATTACTTTCCGTTATCGGATTGACTTTTCCCTGCCACCCACCTCTAAGCATTGGTCTGAATTCTATATCAGTTTACCACATGTGTGTTGGTGGATGTGTATGTAGAGAGTCTTCTCTGAATTAGGAACAAGGTGCTCACAAGTGCTGCTTATCTATACCTCCTTATTGGTCATTGGGGCAGGCCATCATATTAAAGGGTAATAGGGAGTATCTAAAGGCGGGGCCAGATTTCACCGGAAGAAAAGTCAAGAACTGCAAATAACTTCATCTGCCTGTAGCTCGGTTCTGCTGATTATTGGGACATTAGCGATGTTGAAAGATCAGACACGCTGGGACTGTAACAGGCGCACATTGTCTTATTTTATTTTCAGCACCGGCTTAAACTTTTTATGTGTTTAGTTTTGAACATATTTAGGAAAGGTTAGAACATCTGTCATCGTTTTTATTGGTGTGCTAATCCTGTCTAATTGATTGATGTCGGACAGAACAGGAAGTCAGGGAAAATCTCTCCACAAGGGACACAGGCAGCATAAGTAAGAATAATCCTGCTGTCACTATCATTACCACTATTCACTGGGAAATACATACCGGAGGCTCAGCCTTGCCTACGGTGATTACCACCTTGCAGGTAATTGCATGTCCGCGGCCCCCCATGTCTGCCACTCTGATCATTAAAGTAAATGTTGGGTTGCGCTGAAAAGAGAAAATTGTCATGAAACAAAGCTGCATCGGAAATCAAATCATTCCATGTAACCTATAAAAGGAAAATAAACCACAAGAAAAGAGTTGCTTAAAGAGGAACTTCACTCCCACCCCTTCCAGTTTTTCTTTCCTTCTCTTACGCTTGGTTGTCTTCAAAAAACATATACACATCCAGGCAACGTGTGTGATGTGCAGTGACGCATGCACAGTGTGGTGTAGATTGCCTGGTGCATGCACAGTGTGGTGTAGATTGCTAGGTGCATGCACCGTGTGGTGTAAATTGCCTGGTGCACGTACAGTGTGGTGTAGATTGCTCGGTGCATGCACAGTGTGGTGTGTATTGCTCGGTGCATGCACAGTGTGGTGTAGATTGCCCGGTGCATGCAATGTGTGGTGTAGATTGCCTGTTGCATGCACAGTGTGGTGTAGAGTGCTTGGTGCATGCACCGTGTGGTGTAGATTGCCCGGTGCAGGCACTGTGTGGTGTAGATTGCCCGGTGCAGGCACTGTGTGGTGTAGATTGCCCGGTGCATGCACTGTGTGGTGTAGATTGCCCGGTGCATGCACTGTGTGGTGTAGATTGCCCGGTGCATGCACAGTGAGGTGTAGATTGCCCCGTGCATGCACAGCGTGGTGTATATTGCTTGGTGGATGCACAATGTGGTGTAGATTGCCCGGTGCATGCACCGTGTGGTGTATATTGCTTGGTGGATGCACAGTGTGGTGTAGAATGCCCGGTGCATGCACCGTGTGGTGTAGATTGCCCAGTGCATGCACAGTGTAGTGTAGATTGCTAGGTGCATGCACCGTGTGGTGTAGATTGCCCAGTGCATGCACAGTGTAGTGTAGACTGCCCAGTGCATGCACTGTGTGGTGTAGATTGCCCAGTGCATGCACCGTGAGGTGTAGATTGCCCCGTGCATGCACAGTGTGGTGTAGCTTGCCCGGTGAATGCACAGCGAGGTGTAGATTGCCCCGAGCATGCACAGTGTGGTGTAGATAAAACAAATGTTCTGTGCTATCGAAAAAAAAGAAAATAAAAAAAATAAACCACACTGTACAAGCAGCGGTCAGTCTACACCACACTGTGCATGCACGGGGCAAGCTACACTTCACTGTGCATGCACGGGGCAAGCTACACCACACTGTTAATTGATCAATGGTATAGCGCTATAAGCCTCACGGTGTGATTATCAGAAAACCAGTGTTGTGAAAGGTTAAATGAATGGATGATAATGTGAAATGAAATATAAGATATATAAAATGTGTTGGTCTTTTCTTTCAGCCACGTATCAGTGCGTGATATATATGTGGATACTCTGTAGCAAAGTCAACAATGTGAATCTCTCCTCAGAGAGAGTGATAATCTAAGTGGTTAAACCGAAATAAATGTGTGTGTTTAAAACCGCAGTTTTAAACTTATAATACCAAACCTCTATAACAAGGATACAAATAAATATATAGAATTATATATAAAAAATTCCTATATATATAAATAAAAACAACATAAAAAAATGTCATATGAAAAAATTAATTAATAGTATATCGTAAAAAAATGTCATAAAAAATATATATAATGTATCAGTGTCCGGTTATATCTCATTCACGAAAAACTGATGTAAAGCGAGGGGTGAGTAAGGGGCATTAAATCTTGTCTTTTTTTAAAAGGTACCAATGTTTTTTTTAAATTGATTCTATTTTTCGGTGTTGTAAGAAGTAATTAGTAATACAAGAGATAGGAAATGAACCTTCTTTCTTAGCAGCCGGTTTAAAAAAAAACATTGGTACCTTTTAAAAAAAGACAAGATGTTATGCCCCTTACTCCCAGATAAACCTCATATTATTTACAGAAGAGCCCCCACTTTTAGGAATCTATTAGTTAAAAATGCTCTTAATCCACCCAAGCGTAATTTTAGATTTTTTGAGGGAAAAGGCTTTTATCCATGCAGGAGATGTATTTCCTGCAGGACCACGGGAACAAAAAAAGAAAGCTGATACCTTTAGGTCGACCTCTACAAATAAAGAATATAAAATAAATAACTTCATCTCATGTTCCAGTAAATTTGTTACTTACCTTCTCGAATGCCCATGTGGCCTCCAATATGTAGGACGGACCAAAAGAGAACTGAAAAAACGTCTCGAGGAACATATTAACAATATTAAAAAAGGATTTGACAAACATAGCCTGTCGAGACATTTCAAATACCTCCATAATAAAGACCCTTCTGGTTTAAAAGTGGTAGGAATTGATAGAATCGAAGGTCACTGGAGAGGATCCAATCTAGTCAGAGAGATTTCTAAAAACGAATCCAAATGGGTCTATCTTTTGGACACACTTTAAACTGAATTTTAAATGTAAAGACCGGCCGCAGCTCCCGCCCCGCCCACACGCCAGCCGGCCGCAGCTCCCGCCCACACGCCAGCCGCAGCTCCCGCCTACACGCCCAACGGCCGCAGCTCCCGCCCACACGGCCGCACGCACGATGGAAGCGGAATATCATCCGCCGACACTTGAACCGGCAACAGCACGCCACCTTCCGGGACCTCGTCCAGCCCTCCCCCAGCCAGGTAAGACATCCCCCGAAAATAAGACCTAGTGTCTTTTTTCGTGCAAAAAAAAAATAAGACGGTGTCTTATTTTCGGGGGAAAAACGGTATCACCTAAAGGCCTAAACGTAGAGTTCGACCTTAACTGTTTTCTAAGTAACAGTTGAAAAACGACATATTCCATATTAACATTCATTCATCAGCTTATATCATAGACTCATGTTAGAGTACTTAGATCCATTTATAGTGAAACACCCACTGGCGTTTTTTAACAAATATTTATATATTACTTTTTCCACTGCACAAGGGTTAAGTGTTGAATCTATATAGATAAAACCCACATAATTGCCCCTTACTAGGCACATCTCTAAAGATCTTTAATTCACATATTCTATTTATATTCTTATTCACTCCCTTATTCTTATAATTTATATACACTTTTAAGTATTTATTTATTCATTTGTACATATATTATACCTAAACTGGAACTATATTTCGTTTTATCTCTGTACATCTCCTTTTGAATAACCACTGATCCTTATACACTTATTTATTCATATTCTTCAGATGGAATTATTAATATCCGCTTCATGTAAATTAACCTCACGAGGTTGATGGATTTCATTCACACATGGTATAATTACCATTCACTTTATAACACTTCCTTAAACCTAATGCATCTATTTACAAGAGAGATATGGTTAATTTCCTGATATTTACAGATTTTTTGTATTATATACATCTAATTCTAATTCATACACATGCATATAAGATAAACATGTGGTTTTATGATTGGTTTGGTTGTATTCGAGTTTTGTTGTTGTTAAATTTTACATATAATCGTTTACTCCACCCAGCGTATAGACAATTGGAGTTCATGATTGTTCTGACTATTTAAGACAGACTGTGATGTGACCCATACAGACCTGCCATACCTTGATAACGTCTTGTGACGAAACGCGTCGGGGGTGGGCCTGTATTTTGCGGCACATCAACAGTCTGAAGAGTACTCTGCATTTTGTAGCTGACCCGTCAGCGATATTCTTTTATTCCTATTTGTAACGCTACTCAGAGCGTTTTTTATGACTTCCAAATAAATCTCTGTTTTGATACACTATGAGCATTTTGGCTCTGTCCTCTCCTCTTCTTTTCCTTATCCAAGCATCTACCCGGAGATTTTGAACCGTGACGGCCCCTGGAAACCTTACAGGAAAACCCTTCACAGCTAACTAATGGTTCCCTTCCTGAGACACTGAGGCAAGGAAGGAACGCAACATCGGACGTAGTGCTGTGGCCCCTTTCCTGGAATATTAGATAGTCTCCATCCTCCTGTCATCCAGCAATCCCTTTATGGCAAAGGAACGGTTCCCTTCATGATACTTTGAGGTGAAGAAGGAACAGAACATTTGACGGAACATAGAAGTTTTACCCGGAAAATCAGGCGGCTTTCGTTCTTCTGACATCTGGTGAGTTTATCCCCTACGGGGGTTTCTTCTTCTGACAAGCAATCTTCCTCGGCACTTCAAGTGCGGACACACACCCCTCGCTTTACATCAGTTTTTTGTGAATGAGATATAACCGGACACTGATACGTTATATATATTTTTTATGACATTTTTTTACGATATACTATTAATTAATTTTTTCATATGACATTTTTTATATGTAGTTTTTATTTATATATAGGAATTTTATATATATAATTCTATATATTTATTTGTATCCTTGTTATAGAGGTTTGGTATTATAAGTTTAAAACTGCGGTTTTAAACACACACATTTATTTCGGTTTAACCACTTAGATTATCACTCTCTCTGAGGAGAGATTCACATTGTTGACTTTGCTACAGAGTATCCACATATATATCACGCACTGATACGTGGCTAAAAGAAAAGACCAACACATTTTATATATTTCATTTCACATTATCATCTTTTCATTTAACCTTTCACAACACTGGTTTTCTGATAATCACACCGTGAGGCTTATAGCGCTATACCATTGATCAATTAACAGTGTGGTGAAGATTGCCCGGTGCATGCACAGTGAGGTGTAGATTGCCCGGTGCATGCACAGTGAGGTGTGGAGTGCCCCGTGCATGCACAGTGTGGTGTAGATTGTCCGGTGCATGCACAGTGTGGTGTAGATTGTCCGGTGCATGCACAGTGTGGTGTAGATTGTCTGGTGCATGCACAGTGTGGTGTAGATTGTCTGGTGCATGCACAGTGTGGTGTAGATTGTAAGGGGCATGCACAGTGTGGTGTAGATTGCCCTGTGCATGCACAGTGTGGTGTGGAGTGCCTGGTGCATGCACAGTGTGGTGTAGATTGTCCGGTGCATGCACAGTGTGGTGTAGATTGTCTGGTGCATGCACAGTGAGGTGTAGATTGCCCCGTGCTTGTACAGTGTGGTGTAGACTCACTGCTGCTTGTACAGTGTGGTTTA